GGAGAGAGGAAGGGAGGGAAGGAAGGAGGGAGAAAGAAAGGAAGGAGCGAGGGAGGAGGGAGGGAGGGAGGGAGGAAGGAAGGAAGGAGGGAGGGAGGGCAGGCCCAAAAGTCCAACACCAAGGGCTCACCAGCCTGTGTGACCAGGGTCTGGCAATGTGGTCAAGCCATCAGTCCATCACACTCACCTTCAATGGCACTTGGTTTGCCCTCTTTGGTCTGCTCATTCTCCTCATTCTCTTGGTTCTCAGAGGCACAGGCCCGGGAATCCAGCTGCTGGAGAATGGTGGGGCAGAACTCCTGAAACTCAGTCATCCCAATCTGGGACTGTTGGCTGAAATTGTGGGCAGCAAAGAGATCTCTAGAACTGAAGCACTGAAATGACACAGAGGAAGAAAGACTCTCAGGAACTAATGGCTACTCTAATCAGCAACCTACTCAACACTCAAGAGATAAAAAGACAGATATGTCCAAATTGCAGGAAGTCTGCAGCCTTATGTGAAGAAATGGAAGGGTAAGTCTTCAAAAATGAAAAACACAGGGGCTGGGAAGGTGGCTCAGTGGTAGAGCGCTTGCCTTGCAAGCCTGAGGTCCTGGGTTCGATTCTTCTGTACCATATAAGCAAAAAGAAAGAAGCTGGAAATGGTGCTGTGGCTCAAGTGGTAGAGCACTAACTTTGAGATGAAGAGCTGAGGGACAGTGCCCAGGCCCAGAGTTCAGGCCTCATGACCAGACCCCCCCCCCTCAAAAAAAAAAAGAAAAGAAAAAGAAAAACCCACAGGGAAGTTCCATGTGCTGAGCACATCCATCTGTGAATGGTTTCAGGGCAAAGTTTTAGGAAGAACGAGTTTTTAATCATTATGACAAGGGTTTGGTTAAGAAAAGTACACCATGCCAGGTGTCAGTGGTTCATCCCTATAATCCTAGCTACTTAGGAGACTGAGATCTGAGAATCATGTTTCAAAACCAGCCCAGGTTCCCTCCCCCACCGTATAACCCCTGCTTTCACTGTATTTGTATAATTTGTGGAGGGGAAGGGAAAAAACAAATCCTTTAAATAGGGATACAGGTGGACCCATTTCAACAATGAGATGTACAAGTCGTTATGTCGAAAAACGAACTTTACAACTTTGGTGGGGGGGGAGGCTCAGGTAGCGGGGGCTGGCGGGGGGTAATGGGAAGGGATGGGAAGGGGAAACAAAGGAGGAGGCAACAATGCTTGATAAAAAATGTACTCGTTATCTTGACCAGGTAATTGTAACCCCTCTGTATGGTATTTTCACAATTAAAAAAAAAAAGCCAGCCCAGGCAGGAATGTCCATGAGACTCTTTATCTTCAATTAACTACAGAAAGACGGAGTGGGGCTGTGGCTCAAGTGATAGATGCTAGCCTTGAGCATAAAAGTTCAGGAACTGTGATCAGGCCATGAGTTCAAGCTCAAAGCCTGGCAAACATACACATCATTCAGATACCGAATGTGGCTACTCGTCACAACAGCCCAGGAAACTACCATGTTCAAATGCAGATTATGGATATTTCTGTGCAGTCCTGGCATGCTATAGAGTTCATCCTCCAAAGGTGGGGCTCCAGGACACCTCAGCAACAGTGGCACTGCCCAGTCAGACTCACACCTGGGCAACATTAGTCTCCTTGACCTTAAAGAATGGTCCTCAGCCTAAAGGAAATTGATGGAGGCAGGGAAGGAAAATCTAAAGATTCAAAGCTGACTGCAGAACAAGAAGGAAGGGCCAACCAACTGGAACATGCAGGCACCTTGGGAAGTATCAGCACGTGGTTCTCACATACCATGCTCTGGAAACTGCAATTTCACTAATTATACTTTATACATGAAGCCTCCGGTCTTTTCTGAGTTTAGACTGACCTTGGCTTACCTCTGAGAGTCAGCCCTCTGCAGGTGCTGATGACATAGGTTTCTGCATCTATAAGATTGAGGGCTGGCCTCTGGTGACCCCAGACTAAGACTACTGCTGCAGGCTCTAAGGCCCACACACAAGTCCTCTGAATTCAGGCAAGCTCACATACTCCATGGCCTCTGCTGCTATACTAGATTTCTTTACTGATGCAGACACCTGCCAAATAGAGCCACATGTAGCTCTGCATCCATGCTATGTGGTACCCCTGTCCACTTTTGTGTGTGTGTCTGTGTCTGTGTGTGCTGGTACTGGAGCTTGAACTCAGAGCCTGGGTGTTCTCCATTAGCTTTTTTGCTCAAGGCTGATGCTCTACCACTTGAGTCACATCTCCACTTCCAGCTTTTTGCTAGTTAATTGAAGATAAAAGTCATGTGGACTTTCCTGCCAGGTCTTTGAACTTCAATCTTCAGATCTCAGCCTCCTGCATAGCTAGGATTACAAACATGAGCCACTGTGCTTGATTCCCTTGTCTACTCTCTTATTACAGAGTGTTCATCCTTCAAAGGTATGGTTCAAGGACAGCTTATACACAAACTCTCCCTGACTATTCCAGCACATTCATCTCTCCCTCTCATTTCTGAATCCCCCAATTACTGTCCAGCCCATAAAATAGGATGCTTTGTTTTCATTCCAGCTAACTAAGCTCGCAGTCTTGAAAGCAAACTTAAATATGACAAGCTTCTCTGTTTCTTACAAACACCCAGTAAACACAGGAACAATGCAGATGTATAAAGATCCTGCTGGCTGGCTTCCTTTGGACTGCCACAAACAGCATTAGAATTATATTGGCCAAGATGGTCTAGAAGGGAGAACAAGACACAAGAGCCAAAAGACTTCTGTTCTCTGGGTTCTGGAACTGGTACTCCCAAAGTTCTCAGGGGACCTTGAGGATAATTCTTCCTGCCACTGGATAGAGTATAAGCCTCTTAGTAGACTCAAGTGGCCCATGTACAGCTCCAAAGAATAATACTTTGAGGGGTACTGAGAACCCGAGTTCATAGCTTCTCTCAATAAGGGCTTAAAGAACCACACTAGATGCCCAGACTGCACTGATCCTGATGGGTAAAAAGATCAAATGGCCTGTCTGCTGTCACTAAGACCTGCTTACCAAACTGCTCAGCCATCCTGCCCTGACAGGGCATTGAGAGGCCAGGGATGCTGCTGGCACAAAGGAAAGCCTTACCTTTGACAAGTTCCTGTGTCCCTGCTCAGGCTGAGTGACATTCTCCCGGCCTACTCCCACATCCAGGTGGTTGAGCAGGTCCTTCAGCTGTGGAAGGGTGAGGCTGCCATTCTTACTGTAGCGCTGCATGAGGTCCTCCAGGAAAGATGCAGCGCTGACCAGGGGAACTGCCTCAGAAGAGGCCTGAACCTGGAGAGCAGGTCTCCATAGGCTAAACAAGGCCAGCAGGAAACAGCCAGGAAGGGTGGGACACAGCAGCTTCATGGTGACCAGATGCACCTACAAGAGAGGAAAGCCAGGTAAAGGCAAAGCCTTCTTCTCTCCCTTCCACTACTATCTGTAGACCTTCTAGCCCCATGCCAACTACAGGGCTACTTCTTCCTCCCAGCCTGAGAAAAGCTTCATTGAAAAGGATAGAATGACAAGAAAGGGCAAAGCCAATATGTTTGACTAAATTTAGAACTTAAAAAAAAATTGAGACAGAGCACAGAGAGTTCACGTTTATGATCCTAGCTACTCAAGAGGCTGAGATCTGAAAACAGAGATTTGGAATCAGCCTGAGTAGACAAATCCACCAAGAGACTCTTATCTCTAATTACCCAGCAAAAAGCTGGAGTTCAAGTGGTAGAGTGCCAGCAATGAGGGTAAAAAAACCAAGCAAGATTTCAAGGAGCTGAGTTCAAGCCCCAGAACCAACACAAAAAAATAAATGAATGAATGAATGAGAACACATATTTAAAACTTGGATCACAGCAAGTACTGTGGTGTACACCTATAGTCTTAGCACTCAGGAGGATGAACATGAGGAGGTAAGGCCAGCGACATATCTGTCTCAATAACCCCTCCAAACTTGGACTCATACTATTTTACACTTATCATGAAAGTAAAATAGACTTTCGATTTAAACCTCGGAATAAGGATGTGGCTCAGTGGTAGAGTACTTGCCTAGCATGCATGAAGCCTGGGCTCAATACTGTTGCTAGAAATAGCTTGGGATGTCACATAGGAATAAGGATATCAACTTGAAGGGATGGCAAGGCAAAGCTTACTTTGTGTGTCATCAGCCAAAATTCTGGCAAGCAAGCACACAGAGGGAGCAGGCTGATCCTTTTTTATCCCTAACCCAGCAGGCCCTGCCCCTATGCTCACATTGGCTGAGCTCAGGTTCACAATCTACAAAAGGATATAGCTTAATTAAGCATGCAACTAAAATTCAAGGAGCATCTAACAGGATGTCTTAATTAAAGTGCTCAGGAAAAGGATGTATGTAACTAAAATGTAATTAATAAGGGCCAAAACAGAACCCTTCAGAAAAATAATTCTCTCAAGATTAACAGAAAGGAAACAAACTATTTTGATAGAAAAGATACTTGTCTTACAAATCCTCAGCACTATAAATAAAATTAAAATATAAAGTATTACCTCATGTTCATAAAGCTGACTAAATAGTAATGTATTGTCTGGTGGTTAAAAGAATGGGAGCCTTTGAAAAATTATGCGATAAACCCTTTAAAAGTACTATTTTACTTCTAGAACGTACCCTGATTAAAGTAACGAAAAAAGAAAAAGGATATATACCATAAGATGTTCGATCAACTTAATGGAATAACATGAAGCTATAAAAAGTATCATGAATATAAAGTTAAGTAAAAATATAAAATTAAATTGCAGAGTAAAGAACAACAGAAAAATGACAGCCGAGGTAGCCAGGCTGGCAATGTTTTTTCTTCTGTTAATCATTTCCCTTAGTAGAGTTATAACTTAATTAGTGACATAAGCAAACAGCCGCAGGGAAATGAGCCTCCCTGCTCCAGACCAGGAAGACCTCAAGTCACAGCAGTTTCCTGCCCCAGAACTAAGCATTCAGCTCTATCCCTCCCAGTGTGTCCCTCCACCTTGGGGGTCTTTGCTTCTGTCAGAGAAACAAGAGCTGAGTTGCTAAGAACCCTGAGTTGCTGGAACTCTGGCCCTGCCACTCTAGAGAAATGTATTCTCGGGTAAGTTATTTAATCAGAGACAACACAAAGCAACCTAGGACAGCCACGTAGCTTGCCATGGCTGTTACCATTAGATAGATTCTGCTTGAGTTTCCACTCTGCTGCTTACAAAATGGAGAAATAGCACTGGGCAAGTTACTAAGTTTCTTCCACCTCACTTTTTTTCATCCACTACAATGGTGCAGCCACGGCACTGGATTATCATGAAGATGGAATGGCTTAAGCCATGGCCAAGCTCTTAGAATCTGTTCATAAGAGCCAGGCACAGTGGTGCACACCAGTCATCTCAGCACCTAGAGGTTGAGACGGAAAGATCTCAAATTTAAGGCTAGCCTGGGCTACACAGTGAAACCTTGTATGCATGCATGTACACACACACACACACACACACACACACACACACACACACACACACGTATATATACACTAAGATAAACAAATGAATAAATAAACACATCCTGCTGTTATTATTTAAGCAGGGCTCCCCAGTTCTGGCTCTCAGCCCAAACATAAAACTGCTGATGAACTTGTCAGAAATAACCCTGTGGCTAACTTTACATTTGAATTCTGGGTCTGGGCACTATCTTGAGCTTCTTTTGCCCAAGGCTAGCTAGCATTCTACCACTTGAGTCACAGCTCCACTTCCTTTTTTTTTTTTTTGGTGGTTATTGGGAGATAAGAGTTTCACGGGCTTTACTACCTGGTCTGGGTTCAAATCATGATCCTTAGGTCTCAACCTCCTGAGAAGCTAGGCATGAGCCACCAGCACCTAGATAACTTTACTTTCAACTTAAAGTATTACAATGCTGTAGCACACACATCTTATAAATCTTCTACTATAATATAACCAGGGATAGTGGGCACTGGTGGCTCACGCTTGTAATCTTAGCTACTGAAGAGGCTGAGATCTGAAGATCTCTTAATTAATCACCAAAAAGCTAGAAGTAAAGCTGTGGTGCAAGTGATAAAGTATTAGTCCTGGGCAAAAATGTTAAGGGACAGGCCCAGGCCCTGCGTTACAAAGAAAATCAGGGACATCCAGGTTGCATACAGGTGGCATATACAGAATCTGGGGTCATAAAATGCCACTCCCCAACAGAATACAATTTAAGTCACACATGGATGAACTAGGTAACTTCAAAGATGGTTTGTAAAAGTCATAATCAGAGACTCAAAACTCTGAAATTTAATAAAAAGCTAAACATTGTAGTAAAGTCAGGAGTATCTTAGGCAAAAAATGACTACAACTGGGTGCTAGAGGCTTACGCTTGTGATCTTCACTAATCAAGAAGGCAGAGATCTGAGGATTATGGTTGGAAGCCAGGTCAGGTATAGTCTATGAGACTGATTCTCTTATTAACCAATAAAAAATGCTTACTGGATGCTGGCATAAACTGTAGAGTGCCAGCCATGAGAGAAAAGTCTAAGAGAAAGCATGATTCTGAGTTCAAGTCCTAGTACCCATACCAGAGAGAGAGAGAGAGACAGAGAGAGAGAGAGAGAGAGAAACTCATTGTTCAAACAAAGCAGTTCTCTACCCAGCCAGCATTGAATGGCCAACAACGTGTGCTATGCTGGCAAAATGAGGGCAGGACATGGGTTCAGGAAAGCAGAGATAAAGAGATGATGGGCAGTGGCTAGCATTTGCCATGGCCAGATTGTGCTAAACACTTGGCATTCATTGTTCCACCTTAACAGAATTTGGGGACCTGATTACTACTTCAAGAATAGGGAGCCAGGCACCAGTGGCTCACACCTATAATCTTAGCTACTCAGGAGGCTAAGATCTGAGGGTTGTGGTTCAAAGCCAGCCTGGGCAGGAAAGTTTGTGAAACTCTGATCTCCAATTAACCACCAGAAAACCAGAAGTGGTGCTGTGGCTCAAGTGGTAGAGTGCTCATCTTGAGCTGAAGCGCTGAGGGATAGCACCCAGGCCCAGAGTTCAGGCCCCACAACTTAAAAAAAAAAAAAAGAAGAGGGAAACTTGGTTTCAGATTAGGAAATATAGCCCACAGCCGGCAAAGCCAGAAATGGAATTCTTCAGGAACTGAAGCTGAGTTTGAATGACATTAGAGTCAACATGTCCTTAACTAGTGGGCACAGGGCATGAAGGCATAAAGGGCACTTTCTGGGCACCATGGAAAAGCACAAAGCACAGCATGCCTCGGAGCAGATCTTCATCAGCTTCAGGTGCCACCCTAGATCCAGGCTTGGCTGCCCTGTAGAGCTAGAAAAGGGAACACACAGGGTGTCTCAAGACCAAGAATCAAGAACAGAGTATTATTCTTACTGCAAATAAAGTTCTCAATTTATCAGTGGCACCTCAGGACACAATGAGAAAGCAAACAAAACTGCTTTAAGTGTAGGCTCCCTGGGGTGGCTGTAGCAGTTCACAGCTGGATGGGCAACCAGGGGGAGGTGGGCATTTATACAGTGTTTCTTCTCAGTGGGCCCCCATCCCCTATGTGGCTGCTAAGGCATCTTGGATGAAGCTTCTCCCAGATAACCTTTCCTCCCTTGCTCACCCTGCCAGCCTGGCTGCTCATTCCTCTAGGGAACAGGCTGCTTTGGGCTTTTGCTCACACTCCCAGGACAGAACTGGGGCTCCATAATCCAGGACAGCCCCCACAGGGCAGGCAGAGTCAAGCAGGCAGTCCTGCCACATGAACCCCACTTGAGAGCTAAACTCACCCTGCAAAGGCTCAGGGACAGTAAGGAGCCTAGGGCGGTCCTGGAGCTGCTGAGGACACACTCCAGACCCAAGCAGACCTGATCATTTGGCAGAAATGAGAGGGGTGCTTTCTGCACCAATGGAGATATTTTCCCTCCTTTAACTGTAAGTTGTTCTTAGCAAACCCAAAGTTTATACAAGGTTCTTTGGAGAGAAGAAAACAAGAAAGAAACCACACACAGCTCTTGCCACAGCTGGGAGGGCAGGTCTGGGCAGTGGGCTTTGCCAGTGGCAGCAGGAAGCCCGCCTGCTCCATGTGTGGCCAGAGACCGAGCCAGCTGCCCTCAAGGGCAGAGGACATTTGCCAGGAGTGCTCTTCCTAGCAGAGGCCAAAGACAAAGGTCCAGTGTGGCACTGGAGCAGGCCTGGACTGCTGGAGCGAAGATGAAGTCTGTGCTCCTTTGTCCACTGGGCTCAGAGTCTGAGAAGTAAACTATTCCAGTACCTTGGGTCTGTCTCCAAGTATGAGACCTGGTGTTCCAGGGAGAATGAAAGACAAAGCAGAAAGTCAGCAAGACATTTGGTCTAGAGCCTTCTGAGGAGCTTGCAAC